TTTTTTTTTTTTTTGGAAGAATCACCTGTGTATTTACACTCAACTTCGTTTCGCTTATTATTCCCCGATATTCACTTCGCCTTCGGTGAATAATTGTTTAATAAAGCAATGATGTTGACTGACCGATTATAGATGTGTGTCCATACGACTTCTGGAACAGCAGTGACAAGATCCTTGATTCGACAATGATTCTTTGGATTGATTTCTTTTGGTTCAATAAAAGTAAACATAACGAAAGTAGGAATAACGAAAAAGGAAAGAGTGGAGGAGAGGAAGGATGGAAGGAAGGGAAGCAGAGAATTGGGATAGCGGAAATGAACAAAAGAACAAAAAGGAGGAAATCTCAAAAGCAGCAACAATAACCGTTTATACCACAAATTTAAATTTTCACGTTTTCTGATTGGTCGAGAGTCATGGTAAATAAGAGGACATACCAACAAATGTAAATTTTCTCGYTTTCTGATTGGTCAAGAGTCGTGGTAAACAAGAAGACATACCAACAAATTACGATTCACTCGCGAACCGAGCCAGCTTCTTTGTGCTATGTCCATTTTTTTACCACGATATGACTTCAAAAGTTGGTCAAAATTTGTTACTCATTTATGAGTACTTAACATTTTGACCAACTGCTGACGTCATATCGTTAATGAGAGGACATGCCACAAAAAAATATCGGAATTTGTTAAATCAATGTACACTAACCTCCATGTTCACAAACAAAATCAGTATTGGTAATGGGTCCTGAAAATCAAAGAATTTCGCTTTAGTTTCAGCCAAGAAAGCATAAATAAGACTAAACAAATATAAATATAACTTCTTAATATAGCGCGCGCCATGTTAATACCCGGTTGGGCTATTCTTAGTAATTGGATGCAGTTTAAATTTCGCCTTACCCTACAACCGTCATCAACTTGCGCACGCGCATTCCCTTTGTTTGTTATTTTGATCACTAAAACCGAGTCTTGCGCGCACGATATTAAGAAGTTTCCCTCTCTTATTTATACTCTCTTGTTTCAGCCCATAGAAAAAATTCCACGAACAAGAAAATAGTTTTGGATTCCCTCAATCATAAGAGACACAAGAGGCAGTGCGCAAGGGTATGGTAACTAATGTCGCACGAATCAAACAAATGATTTTTGTAACACAGCGGCCATGTTTATGCTCACTAGAAAAGACCAGTTTTGAATCCCAATTTACCGCTGTGTTCCTTGATTACAGACAGATTTAAAAAGGATTAGCCTCGTATCAGTGTTTAAATATTCATAAATATAAACGGCAAAGTAAAGAATGCAGGACTTCAACAATATTAACACTTTGAAACTCGACGGACCTTGACTGGAACACGTGAATATTCTGCACAAAATCGAGGCTAAACCTGCGTAAATGAGTCTGTAATCAAGAAACACAGCGGTAATTTGAAACTCGAAACTGGTCTATTACAGTCTTTGTTTCTGCGGGTACAAACTCATCTCGAAGTGCTTGAAAGTGAGGCTCGTGACCAGTTGTCATTACAAACGCTAGTTTGTAACATACCTCTTTATCATGTTTTCCCATTTTAGAACACGTGTCATTCCCTAAAGTATGATTTCTTTATTTAAAGCTTGTGCATTAGAAGAATCATAATATGCATAAAACTCAAACAGAGAGTCTTATTCTAAGGAGAGCGACACGTGGTCTTAAATGAGAAAACATTACGGCCAAGGTAAAGAGGTCTACGCTAAGATAGGTCCACCAGTGACAACCCAATCTTCGGGTGCATGTGACGTCATAGCCGCCATTTTGTTTGATTTTGTTTGACAAAGAAATTTGGTCTTGGTGTCTTTTGCGATGTCAACCAACATGGCGGCTACGTCTTTTGTCCTTTTATTCGCATTAGAACAGATGTTCATCTTCTAAAAGGACACAAACTCAAAATTATTTCTGGCTTGTATTCATTGTTGCCGAGTTCTGCTAAGATTTTGAACTAGTTTGTTTATACTAAAACTACCGAGTCTATCCCAACATGGGCTTCAAGTCAGATTGACTTCCGCTCAGTCGGTCTGCAAGTCTGCTATTGGTTTACCTGGTTCTGCGCATGTCTGGAACTTTGTAAACCAGAACTTAGATACATAAAAGCACTGCACGCTCGACTAAATGAAGGAAGGAAGGAAATAATAATTTCATTAATAATCAAGTAATTGAAAATGCGTAATATCAACCAGTAAAATAATTGTTATTTATACCAGCTGTCAAAGTCAATTTTTCTGGTACTCTGAGTGGGCGAGAGGGTATCACGTAAACGTTAACAAGTTTCGATGTTCCCGCCTCTCAGCGGCTCTCAACGGGCAATCAAATGATTAAACAATTGATTTGTGTTCTTTGACAGTTGTTATCAGGGTTCGTGCTGAGGTAACCACTTAAAATTCAAGGACTATTCAAGTATACAAGAACCAAAAATGAAATTTATGGAAGTATGTTCAGCTAACTATGCCAAGGTTTTACACGGTGGTTGCACAAGACCGACTTTCAGATTTTCCGATCTTTCTGACTAGATCTATTTTAGAACAATGCAAGTAATTATCAAAGCAAAAATTCAAGGAGTTTTCAAGGAGTTTCGCTAAAATCATAAAATTCAAGAGCTTTTCAAGTGCCCTTGAAAACGTGAATTAAATTCAAAGAAAAGTGTGTTTTGTGGTCCCGAGACGGCGACGTTCCCCGAAGCGAAGCCAAGAAGTCACCCAAGAAGGCTGAATAATGTGCAGTTGCAAAACCGAACAAACAAACATACAGATAAACAAATAAAAGAATATTAAACAGACAGAGGAAAAGAATGAAAGGAAGGGAGGGAAGAGAAGGAAGCAAGGAAGCAATCAAGCGTAAACAGAACGAGTGGTCTATGAAGATTTGTCTAAGGCTTACTTGAGGGTTTCTTATCATATTAAATAACCACTGCCTTTCTTTGGATGCCATCTCACTTGTTTTCCTATAAATGATGGATCAATTATTCAATCAATCATGAATGGATATCAATCAATCAATCAGCCAACTACCCCATCAATTTTCCTGCCCCATCAAGCCTACCAAAAAAATAATAATAAATAAACTATTCAATGGACTATGACACATGGTCTGAAATGGGAAAACATTACGCCCAAGCCGAGGAGGTGTATTATCATACCTGTAAAACAGGACGTAAGCCTCCACTTCCGATACATAGGATTCAGACACTGTATGTGATAAACAAGATACAAAGACGTCAGTCACAAGGAACATTCATATGGAACAGACAGATAAACGAAAATGTCAGTACAAAAGGTAGGGCAGAAAGTAGCTTACATAGCGGCCCTTAAAATAAATGACAAGGTACATCTACTAATTGTTAGACCTTGAAGTCCTCTTGAACAATGACTTAAGACCGTAGGCCCCGTCTGTCTTTACTAGGGACTTTAAGATTTGCAAAATCTACGATGGTGACGTCAACCGGAAGTGTAAATAACTTTTCTATAGAGTTTTCATTGAAGATTTCATTCAAAACATTGTCAGTAAAGCCAACTCATCGACAGGAAAGACAGCCTTTAAAGACGCCAGACCTTAAAGTGAAGTTATTTATACTTTCAGTTTACATAGCAGTCGTAGAATTTGCTAATCTTAAAGTCCCTTTTATATCCCTGTAAGACGCACGTAGAAGAACCACAAGAAGGCATTGGTGACGACCAGTAAAAGCTACTGATAAGTAATATTTCAAACAGCCGAGAGAGTTCTCCGATTTCCAAACACCGAAACGTGATTTGAAAAAACGAGGCGCAGCCGAGTTTTTTTAACTGACCTTGAGGTGTTTGGAAATCGGAGGAAGAATTCTCTCAAGTGTTTCAAATTACTTCTTAAACTCATGAATATTTTTCGGAGAAAATAAAATAAAAAGTTTACGAAATTCAATGCAAATTAAGAACACATTTCCAAACCACCGGCACAGTAGTGATTTGCTTCGTTTTCTCCTCATCAAATATTTATGAGTTTTAGAAAGTTAAATCATATCTCACCTTCACTGACCCAGGAGTCATTGAACTCGTACCATTTGTTACTGATGTAGTTCTTGGCAAACGCGATATAATGACCGGCTAAAATAAATTGATTTCTATTATAATAACCTAACTTCAATATTCTCTTAGACTAAGCTTATAAAACGTCGAACTTCACGAGCCGAACCTAATGATATCAAAGAAGACCACCTTCTCATCCATTGTTTCAATTAGGTTCAGCTCTTGTGAAGTTCAACGTTTGACCTGAGCCTTACATATATCATTAACATGAGCCGAATCTAATGACATCAAAGAAGACCGCCTTGTCATCCATTGTTTCAATTAGGTTCTGCTCTTGTGAAGTTCGACGTTTGACCTGAGCATTACACATATCATTTACATGAGCCGAACCTAATGACATCAAAGAAGACCACCTTGTCATCCATTGTTTCAATTAGGTTCAGCTCTAGTGAAGTTCGAGCTGACCTAAGCCTTACATATATCATTCATTTTCTTGAACTCTGAAGCAGCCTTTGGGCTGATATAAGGCAATGCACTGCTAAATCACAGATTTAGAATTATATAGCGTGTTGAAACTCAGAACCCGGAGAAAAACACTCGAATGAAAAGAGAGACCTAACTAATAGGTCTATTGCAACAACAGGTCACGTGGCCCTAATCCCCATAAAAAGAAACGTTGTGTCAAAATGTACACCAGAAATGGAAAAAGCATCTCGACATTAGTAAGAAGGCAAAGTCTTAGGTCATAACATGTAACATTTAAATACAAAATGGAATATTTTAATAATAAGGATTTGTATCGGGGAAATGTGTTGGATAGCAAGCTTTACCATCGAGCACATTTTCCCATGCAATCCTTATAAAATATGCGATTTATATTCAATGCCATTTCTCCCATAGTCAACATTAAAAGCTAAAACTTTGGATTCTTACTAATATTGAGGTGCTGTTTCCATTTCTGGTGTTCATTTTGACACAACGTCTCCTTTTACGGGCGATAGGGTCACATGACCTGTTGTTGCAAAAGGCCTCTTCTACTTTCTCCAAGCTGTTTTTTCTTACAAGCACATACGAACTCTATTACAAGGCCTTACCTCCAACGCTACCATGGTGTGATATGACAGCGACTAAGTCGTATGTAGTGGAAGGTTTATGAGACATACTGGATCTGTAGTCTAAACATGGCGTAAATAGTAATAAATAGAAATAAGTTACTGATAAATGCGAACCGACAATCCATCAGTGGTTCCAAGGGGAAGTTATTTATTTGCTTGGTTTCGTCTGTCATACTTAGAAAAAAATACCTTACACCTCCGAACCTCTGAAAGTAAGCCCCCGTCCCCGAATTTAAGCCTTTTACAAAAATAAGAACAAGCTTGTTTATGCATTGTGGACCGCACATTTTTACAGGCACTAAACTTTGGCGAGAAAATGTTTCATGTCGAGAGATGTCGTTGTCGAGA